ACTGCGATTATGCTGAAGATGAAGTAAATCCGTCTTTTATACTAACTCTTTACCAAATATGTTGCAATAATTTTCAGGATGCAACTCGAGCTCTAGTAAGTGTTGTAACAATGTATTTGATGTCACAATCGCTTCAAGTAGTCATCACATTTTGTGAAGCTTTTCATAAACATTCTCTTGAAAATGATTATTATGAATATTATTCTTATATCAATGATCTCACTAGTATAATGACACTACTATCAAGGTATTCTTTGTAGCAAAAAAATCGCAAAATCCAACGGGATAATATCAGCCAATGCCCTAGTATATTTCACGCTTGCCAGTTTCCCTTTAAAACACTAGTCACCAATTGGCAAATTTAAGACAAAACTGTTGAATTTTGTTTAAAAACCACTAATCGGTGCTCAGAAACCAATTGTATCTCTATCCCCACATGATTCTCTGGCCCAAAGATTTCATCTTATTAGTTAGTACAAACAAGTAAACCAGAATTGGTACTGTTAGAAAGAGAAACACGTCCGAAAACTTTCAAATCATTTTGCCAATTCACTTTTGTTATAGAAGTAATTAGGCTAAGCAAAGCTATTAAGACCGACTTGTCACGTAATGTTCACCCGCTCGTCTGCAAACGTACAACTGATAAAAATAAACAACTATATTGCCATTTAAAGGCAGAAAAACCACACTAGAAATTCATTAATTCGATCATTCGAAGATATCATATTGTGCAGCACTCTGACGTCCGAATAGGGCAAATTCTCACGATTAAACAAATTTATTCAATTTATTCAAAAATTTGAATCTTTTAGCTGCTTACGATTTCCTGTTTATTACATATGCAATCGACCAATAAAATTAGCGACTCAGACAACATTAAAGCGCTTGAATCTAATATCCGTGAAATCGAAATCAACTGCACCAATTGAAATTCCATCGAAAACAATGAACGTGGAAAATGGATCACAATCTACAAAAATAAGCGACTACCTAGAACCCACCCGAATATGCAACGATAATCGGAATAGATTTATGAGCAGAGAATGGTCCTTGTGAACATTTAATGCTGCATGTGTTAATTCATTTTTGTCACTTGAAAAATTAAAATGAAAAATAAATTGTCCGCCAGTAAGATCAAATTGAATAAATAAAAGCTAAACCAGTGATGTCCACGGGCCACATAGGATTCCAGAAGAGTCGCACACTTTCAATATTATCATGTGAATTTTCATCGAACCAGACAATGATAACATTAGTTTCATAAAAAGGAGGTGTCGCACTAGGTATGTTGCTTTCTTATTTTTAATTTAACAATTTCAAAAAAACGTTTTTTTTCACTCCTTATACTTAACTATGCTATATACATTATGTATAGTCCAAGGAAATTCTTCTTTATTGAATGCTGCCCAAGGAAGCCGAAAGGTTGGACAAATCTGGCTGATGATTGAAAATCTGAAGTATAAAATCTATTCGCTTATATTTTAATAACATTGGCAAATTAATATTAATGTTCACATTTAAAAAATTTTATTATTTAATGAAATTATACGAATTCAACATAAAAAAATGCAAAAAAAATACAAAAAAAAGATAGATAGAATCAGACAAAAGATTCAAACCCGGTGAGAAACATTTTCTTCGAAGTACATATGCTTAAATGATAAAATAGCCTGTTTAGCTGTGGGCGAATTCTTCACATGGCCCTTGAAGAATCGAAAAAATTTGGCATATGGATTGTTATATACATTTTTATACAATATTAAAATTAAATTTCTTTTTGTAATTAAATCTTTTCGAATAAATAAATCATTTATCGAAGTATTTATTTCCTTTTCTCTTGAGAAAGGCAAAAAAATCTCAAATAAATTGGCAAAATATATAAAAGTCGGCAAAAAATTAGTAAATGTACACAAACTGTTCACTGTCCGCTTACGATTTGTCAAATTTTATCAAGTACCACTTTTGCTTTTTTAAATAAAAGTATGTATTTTTTAGGTGCTAAATTAGTTAGTTATTCATGAAGTGATCATAAAAATAAAATACACAAGAAATCATAATGTATACATAAAAACTGAAAAATACAAAGGAGATCAAAAATTTGAAATAAATTGAATGGATATATAGAATAAGAAACATCGGACTTTTAATAATTTATATTTTAATTTCAAAAACTTTTCTTGATCATTTGTCTCGAATAAGCTCAGTCGCTGTCAAGTTTAAAACAATTAAGGCATAATTCATCAATAACTGTTTCCAAAAGTCTTTTTATCCAGATTATTCCAAGCTCTCACCGAAAATACTAAGCCAAAAACACTAAGCCAGTCCACTGTAGTTTCTCATCATGCTTCTTTCTTATATTTATCATCATCTGTGCATACCAAAGCAATAAAATTTTTATTTTAAATTTCAATTGAGCAACTCATCATTTTCTAGTTTTTTTCCGAATTTTTTTTATAAAAAAATGAAAATTTGAAGAAACTATACGAATATAATGGAACACATAAAAGGCCGATGGAGCTGGAACATTTTATGTATTTTTAGGCTCCTCTCCAATGAAATGGTTTCAATATAGCCAGCTAAAACATATGAATAGGCACAATTTTTTCTTGGTGAATTATCTACTAAATCACCACGAAGAAAAAAAAAACTTGTTCTGTGAGTGGTCGAGTGGTTACACTGGATGTTTAAGAAAATTTTATTGAAAAATTAGCATGATATAATGCAAAAACATTACGTGTACCATTAGCATTAGTGTATACCGTAATAACCGTAATCGGACGATACAATACAGCCAGATTGTGATGGCACAAAAGACCTCACTCTCCTGACTTTTGCTCACCGAGTTGCTTTCATCTTTTCTGGATTTATAAAAGCAAAAGACGGCGCATCATGGTTAAGTTTTGTCTAAAAGAATTCCTTTCATCTTATGAGGATTATAAACGGTTCTTAATATTTTTAACAGCCATACCATTGTTATTCCTTACCTTACCATTGATCGTTCGCCAAGTTATAATTGTTTTATGAAGAAGGCGGAATAGTTTCCTATAATCACCTAATCAAGCCGTGGAAATACGATGGCTCAGTGGGTTGTTGCCCAATTCGGAGGGCCAACACTGAGGTTCTCCGAGTGATCTTGGCGACTCACCTGTACTTCTATCGCCAAGGGATTCCCTGGCATATTTGTCTAGTGCGACAAGCCAGCGCAACGAGTTTAACCAGCAATGGTTAAACTCTTAAAAAAAAAAAAGCCGGGGTCTCCATTCTCAAGACCATGTCGTTCCAATAATGATTTCTGTCCTGCCATGCTGCTGCAAATCTTCGAAGCACCCAGTCAGGATCTTCTGACATTCGTGCTTTGGTAGTGTTTTCAGACAATTAAACAGTTGCTTCCGATACCCAACTAGCGCACTATGCTCTAGTATGGAAGCGGTTGATCTTCGGCGACATTTCTTTAGTTTGGACCAGAAAATTCATTGATATTTATACCATTGAGGAGATTCAATAATTCGGTCTGAAATGCGCTCACTATCCGCGACTTTTTTAGTATGAATTTGAGATAATTAAAAATTCTTGCGGAGTGCTGTTTTTGGCGAATCGTCAACTTTATGCAGATTTTGGTTCAGGCCTAACATGGTCAGATCCATCAAGATTGCCGTTTCAGCGCCGCGATAGGAACAACTGTCTAGGCTATCACGGAACTTTGCCAATGATGACTGACGAAGCTATGATCAATCTGGTTGAAACATTGGCTATGCGAGGAATTCCACGAGACTAGATGCTTTCTACGATGCCGGAAGCAAGTATTAGTAATAAAAACTTCATGTTGTTTGGCAAAACGAAGAAAGGGTTTATTGACGCATCAGATCCCGATACCATATTTGGCGGTTATCTGAATTTATCGTAGCGGTATCGTGATCTAAGCGTACATTCCAGTCTCCTCCGATATGATCATGCCCTTTTCGGTTGGCGTTGTTAGAAGTTGAAATTTTGCATAGAACTTGCCCTTATCGATCATCTGCGCTAAAAATTGAAGCATATACACTGAAATATCGTAGAATTTCCCTTTAAACGAGCATTAGGCCATGCTGCCGTTTACCGGGTTCCATTCAATTAAAGCGGAACCAAGCTTTTTCAGACATGACAGTCGCTACGCCATTTTGCCTTCAGTTATTCGAAACACCACAGTGATAGCCGTACCTCTGCTCGGAGACAAGTCTGGTAATTGCACGAGACTTGAAGAGCGGAAAATGGACCTCCGATAATCATCCACACGATATTTAGAAAGAGCGTGGAAAGCGATCGCTTGGCTTGCAACCGCAAAGCAAATTAGTTCAATGGTTAATTACAAAAAACTTAAATGTTGGGTATCTTGACCACTCAAAAAAAGTGAAGCAACACTATAAAAATCGTTGGAAAAGCGCTGCATTTTATTTTCGCTGAAATCGCCGTTACAGTAGGTCTCTCACAGGAAGCCTATTTAAACTGGTGCGACTGCATTTTAAATTTTGCGAGAAAGGCTTGATTTTAGAACTGGATTCGCTGTGGCTGAGTATTAGATCTCTAACAGTCAGATAACGGCTTAAATTTTTGTGGACAGTTTTGTAATTGCTTAAATTATTTAAGTTTATTAATTCCAGTTTAAATGATCTTTCAGATCGGTTTTCCTTTCTCTCAGAATTTTGGTTGACTTAAATTGAATTGGACGGAATTAGAGTTCAAAAGTTATTTTTTAATGGAAAATGTCGAATGATCGTTTATTTTCCTGTTTTATGCGTTTATTTTTATTTCAAAGCAGCCGGAAATGTAAAAAATTTTTTCCTCGTAATTTCTCAGCGAAATATTACGAAATCGATAACTATAAAAATACGACGAGTTCTTTAAAAAAAATCGATGAAGAACATGCAAAGGTTTCATTTTTCTTCTGTGAAAGCAGAAAAATTCTTTATTTTCCCACATTCTTCCACATTCACTTTACTTTACTTCTCTTTAATTCAGGTTTTTGGCTAACTTTAGATCATTTATAAAAGCTGTGATAAGTTGGCCTAAGTTCTGTTGCTATCAGTAGAATGCACTTTGCTCGTTTCTGTTGCTGCAGCAACCTTACCTTTCTGTAAGGCACTGACATTTTTTCGCTTCTCACATAATTCCCTCACGATCTGTATTCATTGCATTATGTATTTAGACAATAAGTTATCAACTGGAGATCAATGAATTTTTTTAGATTTTAGCAAAAATGGAAGCTGCCAGTGCAAAAACTGGTTTATTTCGACGTCCGATGAATCCATTGAATATATCATTTCCAAACAAATATTTTATTGAAGGTTATGACCCAGAAATGGAACTTAGCGAAATACTGAAAGAGGCACCAGCGTTTTATAAGGATAACTTAAAAGTAATTGTTTTTTCAGTTCTCTTTCTTCCGTAGCTGCTCTTTTCTTTAATCTTTACTTATGTTTTTATGAAATCCTCCTAGCATTTTAAAATTGAATTATTTTAATTTAATCTTATTAGGATTTGAGTACTGAATAAAATATTTATTCAATCTGATAAGTTGTTTTTTTAGTTAAGAAGATTTGGGATAATACTTGATACAGATTTATAATTATGTTGTTCATTTCAGGTAATGGCCAAAGAGGCTATGGGTTTATTCGATTTGGAGAAGAAAGAACTATTTGAAAACTGTGGAATGCTATCGCAAGGTGAAGCAAGAAAGGAATATTGTTTTGATAATCCTGAAGTTTGTATTCCATATATCATCGAATTTGCAATTTTCCTTTACGAAATTTAGGGCCTTTATAAGTTATTAGAAATGTTGTTTTAATATCGTTATGTATTTGTCAGTTGCTTCAAATTTCAATTTCAGCTTTTTCGGCAATTTTCTATAAGAAGAATTTTTCTCTTTAGGCTCTAAAATTATGGCGTATGGCTTGTGATTCAGACTGGAATCAGGGTTATTCAAATTGCGAATTAGTTTGCAGTGATCGAAAGACAGCAATTTTTAGAGGAAACTTGAGTACTAAAATTGTCAAGGCATATTATTTTCTTTTTTTTCTCTTTCACTCTTCATTTCATTTTTTTACACAATTTTTGAAATTCCAAATTGTAGTTAAAATATGGATCAGTGGTAAAAAATTTTATTTTGAGATGAATGAAAAAAAAATTTAGCATAACAAAATAAAAGTACAGTTAATAGGATGGCAAATCAGAAAGAGCGGGTTGGGCTGGAATAAAGCTTGATGACAGAGGATCATTTCGAAGGAAGAAGTACTTTTCTAGGTGGAAGAGTTTCACTCACTTGCTTATTAAGGTTATCTTTCATTTTCCTAAATGAATTTTTATTGAATATCGGAAATTTGAAGTTTCCAAAGAGAAAAGATTATTGGCGAGTTTAATTTTTTAGTGTCGAGGTGATGGTCGTACATACAAAGTGATGCTCTACTGTCCGTTGAGTATGGATATTACATGGGGTGACACTTGGTCTTATCCACTACATACACATGGCGGTCCTTACTGGCAATACGAAAAAATCCCTTTCTCAAGGTTTTTTCATACTGTCTATGGAAGGATACAAGATCGCCAGTACCCAGTGGATCTCCGATTGGCTAGGTGATTTTTTAATAATATTCACAATCAAAGGTTTGGTTTTAGGTTCTACTTTTATGATACAATAGTTTAAGATTCTGATTTTTCAGCTCTATTGGAATAGTAATTATGGACAGGATAAATGGTGCATTCGCTCTTGAACTGGATTATATTGGTGTATGTTATGATCATGCACACAAAGAGAAATTTGCATATGAAACATATACAGCCCCCATATGTTATACTATAGGTATTTAGGACAAGTTTGAAAAATATGTCGTTGGATTGGATATTTCTTCCACGAAAAAGCATACAAGATTGAAAAAAGGTCAAATGTTTCGATCCATATATTATTGATTGATTAGGCAATTGAACGAATTTCTCTTTTATTTCATCAGTCGCATCTCTGAAAAATTAATTATTAACTTCATTTCTTCATTTCATTGATTGCTATAGAATTCAAAGTGGCTCATCACGCTGTCTTGTAGATCTTCATCAAATTGATAAAAGTTGATAATTTTATTACTATTAAAAATTATAATTTAATCTATTTTCTTCAAAACTGATTTTTTAAATTGAAAGAGCAAATCATTTAGATCTACATAAACCATTTTTTTTTTACAAATACTTTGACATAAGCCCGAAAGTTGCGTGTGAATCAACAACCAACTTTTTTACCATTCTCTGAATTGTTATTCTTCGGATGTAAGCGTATAATCAGTCTTCGTCCATCAATTTTATGTGATGCACTTTTCATTACTTCATCAGCAGCTTTCCTGCCATCAAACTCAACGAAAGCATGTCCTCTATGCAACCCCATTTTGTAATTCTAAAGAAATTTGAAATTTCATGAATCTTATTCCGTTAAGATATTCATGTATTCATATAGATATATCATTTATATTATTTTTTCACAGGTAATCATTAAATCTGAATTATTATAAACCTTTAAAAACATGGATAGTTCAAAGCGAATATCAAGACACTTCCTTCGCAATTTGAAGAAAAGGTTAATTTATCAAATTTCCATCGAGCTTTTTAAGAATATAGATATTCGTGTTAAAATTAAATTGGTCCATGGACATGAAAATAAAAATTTACCATCCGAATAAGGTTATCAGATGGACAGAACAAGTGAAGAAACCAAAAGACTTACCCAGGGAATTGTCACTGTTTTGACTACACCAAATTTCGAGAAATATTCATAAATTTCTTCTGAAAGCAACATATATTTGAAAAATAGAACAGTAAAAAATCGTAGTTGCATGTATTATAAAACCTCTGTCTTCGATCATAAATTGTCAGTTAATCAAAACAAGATTGAAAAATTTAACTATATGAGGTGAGCCAACTTATATTCTTGACAATAATTTTCGAGCATGCGGCATCGTTGTCAGTTACACTTGTTTCACCCGCAGATTCCACTGATTTAGCATGATGCACTCCCATTGCACAAAATGATCTTATTTTAACTATTTGACCATAACGTAAAATGGTTACGGATAATTTCGAACATCCACTCGAATTCATCTGAAAAACAAGTCAATCCTCACTAAAATTTCCCAAAAATCAGAACGGCAAGCGTTTTTTTCGATAAAATCAGCATATGTAGAAGGCATAAACCGTTGTAAAATTTTGATTTAAAAATTTTATGTAGTGGAAATTTTATTTTCAAAATTAATAGATAAAACAATAGAACAAATTGATCATTCCGTATGGACTGCAGCAAACCAGCAGTTCTATATGAATTAACGACAAAAGGCAATTAAAATTCTTCCACCTCAATGTAAAGGCGAATGAATCTAAATAAAAAGAGCCCCAGTTAACATTTTATGTTTAAAGCAAAACTTTTTTTGTAGAAAGTAATCTCCAATTGTACCGCGAATCTGTCTTTTCCAAAATCGATAAGCAGTGCTGTATTATGGGTGGGCCTTTTTTTCCTCCATTTAGACCTATAAACCGTTAAACCATCTGTGTGCTCAAAGTTCCTCCTGACATTCCAGTCCTTGATTGGTTCTCCTCTCTTTCAACGCCATCACAAGGCTAAGATAACCAGATCTGCATTGTAAAAAGAAGAGAAGAATACGTAGATGACACTCTGACTAAGCGAATGTATAAAATGTGTATAATCGTGTCATATTTCATAGCAGTAATAGGAGTGCTGCCAGCTAGATGCAAACTTTCTGATATTGATTTGGCAGCGATTCCATAAAGGTCTCGCCCTAAGGGATGAATAAATTCTGCTTTTTCTGAATTTCGGGAACAAGTATCAGAGGAGGAAAAGAATTTAGTCTTCTTTGTTAAATATGTTCCCTCACTTCCACGCATTAAAAATTCTCAATTATGAGATAGTTAAATTATTCGTAATTCTGTCATTCGTAATTATTAATCAAATGTACATTAAATAAATATTAGTAAGAACCTTAAGTGACTTCAAAGCATAACATAATTTTTTCTTAAAATGATTTTAAAACTAAATACCAACTTAACTACCATTCTACGACTTTAAAAAATGGTTAAACTGGTGGAAGGTGCTTGAATTATTAACTCCCACTTCAGGTTTCTACTCCCTCTTCCAAACTGCGAAAAGTAGGAACCATCCCTCAATAAATTATAAAGCTACTTCAACAATGATTCCAGTGAAAATGCATACTACTCCAATTGTCTTTAATTTCCCAATGCAAATTCTGAATTTCTGCTTTTTCTTGATATTCCGTGTAAGACGATATATTACAGAAATAGCGCCCCTAGCATGGCGTCAAAGGATACTGATTTGACAGTTGGGAAGTCCTTTGGATGTGCCTTTTTGGAGATGTAAGCGTCGTACATCACCTAATATTCTGCAAAATTTTTTATCTAATAATTTTAGACACATGAGGCACATTATATAATGCAAAAAAAATTCTTTAAAAATAATTTAGAACGTACTAGAAATGGACTAAATAGTTCGACTAACACCAAATATTCAAGAATTTTTTCAATAAAATAGCTACTTCGCTCATAGTTCCTTCAAACTATCAATATTGAATTCCGTTAGAAGCTGTTTCGTATGGCGTGGAATCAAAAGATCAACTGGAAGCTGAAAATTGTTATTTATCCAATATCAGATTTTTTTTGTATTTCCTAATAAATAATAAAGATTAATAATTTGTTATGTAATCATTCTCGTTCCCTGATTTTCTTAAGGATCGATAAAATACAAAATTGAAAATCTTAAATTTTAAAAAGAAGTAAAGAAAATGTAAGGTTTAAAGTGCAAATTATTAACCAGAGCGTTATCAATCATATGAGGTCGTCGAGCCAAAGCAGCCAAAGCACTTTTTGGATTTTCGAAAGTGATTAAGGCGAATCCTCGATGAAGTCCCACATTTAAATCCTTTAATTGTTGAGGGTTATCAAACATATTTTTTAAACGATTAGGCCTTCACTTGATAGATATTTCAATCCTATAAAAACTAATTTATCTAATATAAGCCATTAGTGCCAATTAAAGACCTTTTATTCACGGATTTGAATAGTAAAACTTTCCAATTCGGTCCCTCGTAGGAATCAAACTTAATCATTTTAAGCTAATTTTTTCTGATTGTAATCGTATTAATTGACGAAAATAACTTGCAAATGGTAGTTTAATTGCCTTTATTGCTCCAAATTGTTGAAAATAATTTTTCAATTGTTCTAAAAAGGAAAGAAATTAATTTGTCTAAAATCAGCGTTTTTTTCGTGAATTATGTATTTTTTTTGCAAAATCACTTAAAACAAAATATTAAATTTGAATAAAAAACTTAAACAAATTAGAAAAACCAAAAATTTTTTTAAAAATTTATTACCTTCACCGGTAACCCATTTTATATGCCTTACAAAAATTGTTCTATTATAATTACCAAAATCCTGGCATCTATTGAAACTTGTTAAGCGCCAAAATGTTTTATGCATTTCCTTCTTTTCTTTTCAAACTGAAGAAACACAAAACAGGAAAAAAATAAATAAAATAAAAACGAAATAGGACGAACTATAATTTTAACTAAACATGAATATATAACAAATAAAGGAAAGCGGTTAGTAGTTCAGCGCATTTCTGATCAGACTAGCTGTTAGAAATTTTTGCGAGGGATTTATAGTTAATAAAGTTATCAATAGTTATAGTTCGGGACAAATCGCAAGCAGACTATCCCCAGGTTTGGCACGGATGTTTACATGGCCAAATGGTGTATTTGCTTGGATTTTCATCGATTATGTATTTAATGACAAAAGCCCCACGTGAAATTTGATAAAAAATATAAGATATAAGTCCTAAACATCTCAGAATTCACTGATACACTGAAAAGTTTAATTGTGCCAAAAGTGCTGAACCCGCGTTGCTCGCCAGCGCCATCACACAACTGGCTTACTCGTATCGAAGGCAGAACCATAGCTTCTCAAAAGAATAATCTGAGCCGCCAACCGCTCGGTTACCCTACCCCTTCCCCCTTTAAAGATAGAATTTTCTTTGGACCATCACAAACAAAACCGTATTACCAATAACAATCATGATAACAATAACAATAATATTTGATAAACCCACAGATTAATGAGCATTATTTGCAATAATTCCTCAAAATTTTACAGCCGTTGCTACTCCTGGATTCATAACGCGGCCGCTCGAGACATTTCTAAGCCTATGTAAGGGCCTGGAAATGATTCTTTTTAAAATATTAGGATGCAAGCAATGGGCAAATCCAATGGGCGAAAGGGCGATGCGGCTAAACTTTGAGGCACCAGAGAGGGAAGATTTTTTCTTATTGTATCATATAAGAGAGATAAATCTTAATTTGTATTTTAATTGAATTAGCGGTTTCCAGTTTTTGATTTTAATCTTAAACTGAGGAACATAAAAAAACCAGAGGAATATCAGAACGAATCAGTGAAAAAATTCCAACTTTTATGATATGATGAATAGTGAATATCAATTCGGTCTCCTCGTTTAACATTTTGTCAATTCGGTTCTTTGCATGAGGTTTCATGTTATTTATATTCACAGATAGTGGCAAAGAATTGTCCAATCCCCTAACTCAGATTGTTCGCTACTGTTGTTTACGATGTTTACAATCTCTTATTTTTAATAGATCGTCCACATGAAATATAGATATTTTACATAATTGGATTCGGCGCGACTGCTAACTACCATGATCTTTTGTTTCGGATGAGGATAAGCAGGAAAGGTCTGATTCCTGTCCTTAAGTGAGGAGAAAATTGATCACGTAATTCACCTATACCTCTATCTTCTGAATAAATGTTTGAAAATTTAAAATCATTTTCTGAATTCCTCAAAAAATTGCCTTTTATTTCACATATAAAATTATGGATTGCTCTATATGAAATATTATTGATATATAATCTTGTTTCTTACAAAATAGGTCATCAAAATGTCCTTTGTACCATTTCGGTTTACATATAATGTCTTTTCAAAAAAAATCCAACCTCGGCGCCTTCTCGCAGAAGCCATCAATGTCATGAAATAAGTATACTTTGGGAAAAAATACGATATGCACTTGGATTAATTCAGTGTTGAACATATTTTACATTGAAGAAATATTTGCTTGATTTCAACTGCATTATTAGTCGTTAGTTCGATGAATTAAACTATTTGTACACATTTTTTAAATTGATGGGTTAAGATAAAGGTATTAATTTGTTTCCACAAAAATAAATATATAGGTTCAACATCATAATCTACATCATCATCATCATCATCAATGACATCTCGAATTTAGCATCTCGAATGAACTGAAATAATTGTTATGATTTAAGTGAAGTTATATTACACGATGATTTGATAAATATGGATGAATTCGTTCATAGTCGCCTTCATATATGCTTTGTGTAGAATGGTTCAAATTTTCCTACTGAAATCATTTAAAATATCGGTAGTAGTACGATAGAAACACTTCAACATGATGGACAAATTAACTGACTGATAAACTGAAAATAAAGGGAAAATAATTCTTTTTAAGTTAGCCTTCATAAAAGTGGTGCAATAGGTGAAATTGTTTCTGATAATCGTTTCAGGCATTCGTGTGCTAAAATTTGTTATAAAATTTAAACTGCAACTGAATGAATAAAAAGATTTAGCGCAGAAATGGTTAAAAACAATATGAACATACCGAAAGAAACTATGTGAATCAATGTGTTTTTTGATGAGAAATTAAAATAGATTGTATGCACAAAAATCTGCCCAGCCGAATAATTTGGCCTTATCATATGATTCAGCCAAATTTGATTAATGGGATTATTGACTATTCGATGATATAAAAAGAGGTTTAAATGAGTATCAATCCATATTACGATAGCCTCATCATTTTCATTATAAAATACATTGGCTGAGATAGCTCTCATAACAAATAATATTAATGGTTCTGTGAAATGGATGTTGAGCACATGTTAGGTTCCTGGAAAGTTTCATCCTAATTAACTAGTGTAAAGCAGAAATAACTTAAGAGAACGAGAAAAATTAGGCTAGATAAATAAGCTATAAGATAGCCTTGCGTTGTTAATGATCTTATTAGCCTTCAAAGTATAATAAATTGAATTTTGATGTTTAGTACATAATTGCCAACAAGTGAATTGAAGGCGGTGAATTTGAGAATCAAAAAACTAGCATTTTGAACTTTATGCGTGAAGGATAATGGTGAGTTGCATTTGGGAAAACGATTGCCGCTGTGCTTTTTATCATTTCAACAATCTTGCTTACTTATGAACAATAAATACCACCATAAACATTCCTTTTCAGTGATCTGTCGATTCGTATATAGCTCGACTGCATTTATTTCACGAATAAATGCACTTCTATGGTTTCTTTTGAAGCTTTATATAAATCAAACCCTCTTCTCTTATACAAAAAAATAATTCATATAACGAGAAATTTTCATTAGAATCACATTATTTGTACGCTTTATGGCAAGTTAATTGTAGATTATTCTTTTGATGTTTCTTTTTTTTATCGTTCTTCTTTCACCATTTCTGCTTTTACTGGCTACATTTGCTGTTAAGATGAGACCCATTTATCAGAACCACTCGGGGAGGAAATAGAGCATTACTCCGATCTCACATTTAATAACAGGCCTACTCCAGCTATGAAACAGACTCGAACGTACTACCACTCGAATAATCTCTTATAACTTTTCATATCAATACATCAACTGATTTCACTTTTCTATTCATTAATTTGTATTTTCTGTTCACTTTATATGGTCTTTCATTCAACTCTTAAAATTCAACTCTCATACGCTAGAAAGACTGTAAAGCCCAAAATTGACGAATTCAGCATAAATATTATTGAGGTGATAAACGCTACTTTGCAATGTCTACTGGTTTGAAGGTGCAGCACTTAATTCTCAATATATTTCAGATTCAATGTATAGAATTTTAAATTTATCTTCAAGAATAGTAAATTCCTTCAATTATATATCTATTTATCCTTTATTTCAATAATTTTAGCCATCTTCATGATTTTATCCATTTAAAATATGTCTGAGCCTTCAAAGATGTTGATTTTTCTTAAAATTGCACGGAACAATGTAACACAAACATTGCAGTATTATTGTCGGCAAAAAAAAAACAATTTTATATGTCGTTTATTTTCTTATTTTATTATATCAACTAAAAATAGAAAATAATTGGATTATTTTATTTTGTTCTAGTTTGACGATTTTCCATGAAAATTTATTAAACTAAATTAAAATATTAATAATATTTAATAATAATAATAATATTTAATAATAATAATATTTAATAATAATAAATATTAATAATTTCTTGTTGTTGCTTTATTAGAAATACCACGACTTGCCAGAAAGAAACGAAAACTGGAAGACTGAACTTTAGAATGTTGAATTTCCTTTGTCATAATTTTATTATCCGTATATTTATTATTACAAACTGATAAGTTAGTTATTTGTTGTTTGTATTTATAAGTATCTCAGCAATATGCGTCATTAAAATTCAAAGAGAAATTCAAGGAAAATCTCTTTCGAACTCTTCTTCTTTGCCCAGTTTCTAGAAGAAATCAAATGAAGTCATCATAAAATATCACTTTTAATTAGTTTCAGCGTATTGATAAAAAAACAATCTTTTATTGGCAATTGTTTTATCTCTCTTCTCGTTTAATCATGGTACTATTGGCATCGCTGCCTAATGATGTGCTTAAATATGCTTCCAAAATTCTTAAGTGCGTGAAACATCGGTACACTGCTTCCGTTTTATGCCTTCTGTAATTTATTTATTTTTTATTTATTTCAGAGGCAGATCAAGATGGTCATGTTTTTGACAATCTTTTATCACATCCCTTTCAACTTGTAAAAGTTGAAATAAAGCTGATAAGTTAGTTATTTGTTGTTTGTATTTATAAGTATCTCAGCAATATGCGTC